TTTTTGTGACCTGGGCTAATGAGTTTGAAAGTGGTTTAAGAATACAAATAACAATATTCCTAGAGCAAATATGGGGGATAGGTACGCTTATATATTGTTGGTAGGACTGTAAGCTAGTACCACCACTTTGGAAAGCAGTATGGAGATTCCTCAAAAGATTAGGAATGGAGCCTATTTGTTGGAATTTATCAAAAATAACTAAAATCACTACACTGTAGTGATCTATGCATATCAATGTTTATAGCAGCACAACCCACAGTAGCCAAGTTGTAGAACCAGCCTAAGTATCCGTCAGTAGACAAGTGGATGAAGAAAACATGGTGTTTATACAGAGTGGAGTTCTACTTTGCCATAAAGAATGACATCTTTTTTTCATTTGCTGGTAAATGGATGGAACTGGAGAGCATCATGCTAAGTGAAATAAGCCAGACCCCAAAGTCAGGAGTAGAATGTTTTCTTTCAGATGCAGAAGCTAGAATGAATGAAAAAAAAAATGGACTTTGTGAAAGTGGAAGGGAGGAAGGGAGATCTGTGGAGACCAGACAGCCGACCAAGGGGGAGAAGGGAGGAGGGAAGGGGAAGAATCCGGGTTATGCAGTTGGCCTAATTATCCTGTTTGCATGAATATGTCACTTTTGTATTAAACTAAAACATTCCATTAAAAAGATAAATTGAAGGAAGACCAATAGAGTAGAAAATGGGGATCAGAGAAAGGGAGGAAGGTGGGCAGGGGAAGGGGAAATGAGGGGATTTAAATGGATCTAGCTGTGTTATAGGCATTTATGAATGTGTCAAAACGAACATCACTTTAGGTATAAAATATAATGCAGTAATAAAATAAAATTAAAGTGGTGGTCTGTTGTTTGATACTGGTTGATAAGAAAACCTAAAATTCCATTCATATGCACAGTCCTAATGTTCTTTCATAGAAGGGATTAGGAATTTACCCATGTAAAATGCAACAAGTGCTGGCTTATCCACTTGGAACAACATAAATCATGGAGGGTGGATCATATTATAAGATATATATTTTTTTCTTGTATTCTGGGATGCTTATAATAATATAAATGCTCAAGTTAGTAGTTTTGTATTCTTAGTCTTCTTGGACCACAATAGCCAAAATTAGGTTGTATGAAATAATTTTCTAAAGGAAAATATATCCCTGAGCCAACAGCCAAATAGGAGGACAGAAAGGAAGAACATAGCTCCGGCTCCCACTCAGCTTTCTGTTTCTTTAAAGGAATGCTTTTTATCTAAAAATAAAGAGAGGCCACATCGTTTCCATAGATGTCCCCCCCCCCATATCATCAACATCATCTGCAGTGATTTTTGAGGTGGTGGAGAGGAATTTTCCTGTGATCATCAAGTTGATGATAGTGAGGCATCTCCCTTTCCGTCCTGAGCAGAACCTCAGCCACATCTTGTTCAGATGACTGCTGTGGGGGGGGGGTGCCCCAAAAGGAGCTTCTCAGACCTCTGTGGGCTTCTCCCACGATTGAGACTTCAAGTGCCATATGCCAAGCCTCCGGGAGCTCATTCTCTCTGAGGAGGCTGAGCAGGAGGAGGCAGGTAGGCAGCTGCACTGCCCAGCCTCGAAACGGGAGGAACAGGGGAGGCTGGCCTCACCTCCACTGCAGGAACCAGTCAGACAAGGCAGAAGCCAGTCCCAGGGGGCCATGAGTATGCCAAGGTGTGGGTGGCACAGGAACTTGGCCACCCCAAGTGCCTCAGAGATGAAATCCAGCTCTCCTGAGGACTAATGGTGGGATCTGTGTCTGGAGCAAAAAGGGATTTCCTGCTTGAAACCTCAAGTCGACTCATCTTCAAATTAAAAACACTGATGAGGGCCTCCAGGTGTTTTCCACCTCCTGCTCCATCAGCCTGTGTCAGTCACCTGTGTGGTGTGAGTTCTGGAATGAGCTGTGGTAGGAAGAGCATGTCAATCACTAGGAGGACAAACAACCCAGTTATTGAACCATCAGTAACTGAGCACCGACTTATGTTATTTCATTTAAAAAAGTTTATCTTTTGAAAATTTTCAAACCAGTGGAAAAGTTGAGAGTACAGTGCAGCGAATAGTCACATTCCCTGGTCAGGATCCGCCAGGTGTCAACTTGGTGACAGGTCAACTTGGTGCACCTGTCACCTCTCACCCCACATGTGTGTGCACATACATGTGCACATGCTCATGTGCATATATATACCCTCCTCTTTGGCCAAATCATCGGAAAGCGAGTATTCCACCCCTAACTACTGCAGTCCTATGGAGGGAATAGGACATGCCACTTTAGAGTGTTGTTATGGAGGAACATAGTGCTTTGGGAACACAGAGCCCAGGAAAGATACTTTTCAAAAGACTGGAGGATTAGACTTGGCTTCTTAGAGAAGGTAACATCTGAGCTGAGCACGCAGGCAGACACCAGTTCACAGGATCCGTGTCTAAAGTTTCAGCAACAGGGAAAAGGTGCCGTCTTTCAAAAAGAGCTTACTACCTTCTTGAGGCCTCATTCAGTGTAACCATATTTGGAGCTTTTGCTTTTATGATCCCTCTGTGGTTTTGTACTAACCACACTTATTATTTCCGCAGCCTCTCAGGGGCTGTCATTGAAAAAGTGCCTTTAATTTTGCTTGCATCCATGAGGAGGTTTATTAATGTGCAGGGGGCTGTGCGGACCAGGGAACTGTTTAGTCAGCAGGGTCTCCTTGCTCCACAGAATGCTCATAAAGGCCCAGTGACTTGGGGTGACCAGCAGATCCAACTTTTGCATCTTTTGCGTCTTAATGATAGCTGTGGCTTAATTTTGTAATTATGCTTAAGATTTCTATGCATCCATAAATAAAAGGAAATGTAGGCTATTCCAAGCAGTCAGAACTTTAGCTATTTCTACCATCTAATGAAGGGTTTTGGGAAATTTAAAAACAGCTGAAGCATTTGGGGGACAGGGACACTTTCCAGTATCTAGAGGTATACATGATATAAGCAAATATCACACTCCTTGGACCAATGAGCAAGAGAAAGACACTTTGAGGCCTCTTAAGCATTTTGTTGGCTAAATAGTAGTGTTATATAAAACAAATATTAAATATTGGTTTGGGGCAGAAATAATAGCTTGTGTCGTCAGATAGAGGTGATTCTAAATTTTAAATCAGTTTTTAGAGCATGGACCACTCTGGAAAGTGGCAGGGGTCACTCTGAGCAAATCCAGGCATTGGTTTTGGCTTGTATAATCTCCTCCTGAGTCCAGTAGGATGAACCACTCTGGGGTTCTGCTTGGCCTTCTAACAGGTGACTTCCCCAGGAAGTGTATGGCAGGTCTGGAGAAGGGGGCTGTGCAGGGTAGTGGCTGAGACCTCATCTTTTTTATTATTATTATTATTAATTGTCGATGGACCTCTATTTTATTTATTTATATGTGGTGCTGGAAATTGAACCCAGTGCCTCACACCTGCTAGGCAAGCACTGCACCACGGAGCCACAACCCCAACCCCTGAGACCCTATTTTGGTGCAGCCCTGGCTTCCGGTTATTTTTTCTCCTCTGGGTCTTGGGCTTGTCTGTGTGTCAGACACTGGCCTTTGCTACCTCAGTGACATGCTTCTCCTACACACACACACACACACACACACCCCAGACTTGCACTTGTCTCAATTCAGTAGACACATTTAAAACTCAAACAGAAACACACCTCTGCTTGCTGAAGAATGGCTCTGATGGACAGAAGGGGCCCACCATTTCCAGGCAGGGACTGGCTTGAGGTTAGGGTCCCTGAGTCTGGGTTTGTGTGGAGTGCAGGTTGAGCCCAGGGCTGTGCTCCAGTGGGTGGCCAGCTCTCGAGCATGGGAGCTAGGGAAGCTGCCCTGCAGAGCTCTCTGGACCGGTCTTCCCAACTTGGGCCTGACCAATGGGCCCAGGTGGGGGTAGGGTTGGCTTTTTTGAATGAAGGAGACCCTCCAGTGCCAGCCAGACATCTGCAGAGGTGAACACTTGATTAGGGCAGGTGGAGCCGCATCGCATGCATGTTGGGTACCATAGGTGAGAGAAGCCATTTGGGGATTTTGGGGATTTTCGTGGGCCAGTTCAAGAGTGACAGCTGAGTTGGGGAGGCTGTGAGGGAGCAGCCTAGAAAGGAGACCTGTGTTCCTCACATTCAACACCCACTCATCCTGGAACCTGCAGGGGAAAGTGGAGGCAGTTGGGGAGAAAGTCTAAATTTGCAAGGAAAGATTTACAAGCCGAGTATCAGGCGGGGA